TCTTGGTTTGATGAAAAGGCTGTACAGCACAGATTATTTTAAGACACTTGGATATCTAAATTCTGTCTCCCAGAAATAAAGTCCCTTAGATGCAGAGCATACACATGTACCTCAATGCAGAATGAGAAAGCTAAGCTCATCTTTAAGATTTTTTGGGAGGGGACAAGTAAGAACATAGTCTAATACAATAGATCAGTATTCCCTTCCTTTAGTAAATAACCCTCCAGTACACTCCCCATTTCTTGCCAGTGAATGGTGTTTCTTCCCATGCCATCAAAGCCTTGCCTCCCCTAGTTAATGTCAAAAGACATTAAATATGGACATTGGGAATATAAAATTATTTTTTCTAATTTCCTTTTAAAGAGTAACTGAAGTCTCAAAATGTAACTCCGGCAAGTAACTTGCTTTCAATTCACTGTTACGTGTGATGAAAGGCTTATCTAAGAACACACTTGAGCATGATAACAGCTAAACACATGAAACACTGACACTGCAATAGATAGAAACAACACAGACAACAACTGTTGTGTTTCTGACCATATATAGTCAGTAAGCAATGGCAATAAATACCAAACATTTTAGCTATGCCTGTACAACTGTTTGAAAACTATAAGCAATCACACCTTAACATAAATGCAAAAAATCATTATCCTTAGTATAATGCTAGACTTTAATGCAAATTCCTAAGATGTTTCCCCACACAGACTACATCACTGTTTGTCTTAAAATTGATTAAATATCAGAATCAAGACATTAATTATAGTCTGATGTTTAGTGTCAGGGCATTCATGGTTGAACAATGCTTCTTATTCCTTGGTACAGGGGTCAGTTATTTTACCATTAACTGACAGCACGTTGAGTCAGAAGGCAATTTTTGAAATGCTGTATACATGAAATCTGGCAGTACAAATTTTTCAAAATATTTATATTTGGGTTTATTACACTATTTTAGAATAAAAATATGTATACGAGTCCCCTTTTACAAAGCTTCACCAAACCAGCTCAACAGGAAAACTTGGCAGTTCCTCAGTTACTAGGAGAGTGGATTTCTGGGTGATGCACAGAGTCCACCACCCAGAGACCTGCCTGGTGACTTATTTGGTAGAGTTCTAGAAGAAGGTGAATCAAGATGTGGATAGAGATAGGCCTTAAAAAGTAATTTCTCAAGAGGAAACTCAAAGAAAAATGCAAAGGACCTCTGTATTAAAATTGATCAGCTCCAAGACTATAAATCTTCAGTAAAATTTCGCAGATGTCAAAGGAAGCAGAAACTAGATTTATCCAGAGAACATGGCTGCCATCCATTATAGCAACACTTCCTTTCAGATGTCACTAACAGAACTCAACTGAATTTGAAACCAAAGTCTCATCTACTGATAGTGTTTATCAAGATTGAACTGTAGTCAGTGAAGCCATATACATGCCCCCATTTCTGAAGACATTAGATGAGTCACTAATGCATCACATGAATTAAATACAACAAATCTTCTATTTATCTTATCCTCACTGTTCACTTTTATCCTATTAATTTGCCCCTTTACTCCCCAAAACATTATTATGAACATGATTATCAGCAGCAGCTTGAACAAAGTCTATCACTCCTCTGAAAGGAACCCCTATTAATGAGCTCCAAAAGTAACAAAGTAGCATTTTAACACTGGCAACTTGCATTCAAAGGAAATAAGCATTTAATTCTCATCTCACAGTCTTCAATTCAACAAGCTCAGTGAGTGACACAAGCTAAAATGAGAGAAGAGGTGAAAGAATATTTATTCTTTCCAGATGTTGGTGTGCATATTTGGTCTGATAGTTTGGCTCACATCTGAGTGAAATCATCTAGAGTATTGTTTCAGAATTCCACTACACAGTAAATACAAGCTGTAGCCACATGCAAAAATTGATAATTTATTTGAGAGCATAGTAGTAAAAATACCCGCCAGTCATCACAGAAAAATATGCCCACAGAAAATTAAATACTATATGCTATGACATGCATGGCATGCAAGCACAGTTTACCAGAATTTATGACCCACATCCTTTCAAAGAGCTTGAAGCAAATAACATGAGACATTTAACAGCAGCAGAATGTGACTTGAATAACAGGCAATGAAGTTACATATGATGTGGCATACCACAAATCAAAAAAAAAAAAAAAATACACAGCTTCAAAGGACTAAAAATATCTGCAAAATTAACAAACTGCTATTTATTTTACAATTGTTCACCAACTTCCTAAAATTAACTTCTGCAGTTTGGCAAATCCTTGGAGGAAGATTGGCTGTGAACACTCAATTTGTCATTGCATAATGATAGGTGATAACATGGACTTAACTTTCTTTTAAAATGTATGAGGTATATATAATCTACTTTATGTATTATTTATTTTTGTAGTTATCTCTGGTCTTGGCTAAGAATCAATAAATAAATTGAAAATGTGAGATATTTTTATATTATCTTGTAAAAAAATCAATATAGAACTATATATGCCCCTTTACTCCCCAAAACATTATTATGAACATGATTATCAGCAGCAGCTTGAACAAAGTCTATCACTCCTCTGAAAGGAACCCCTATTAATGAGCTCCAAAAGTAACAAAGTAGCATTTTAACACTGGCAACTTGCATTCAAAGGAAATAAGCATTTAATTCTCATCTCACAGTCTTCAATTCAACAAGCTCAGTGAGTGACACAAGCTAAAATGAGAGAAGAGGTGAAAGAATATTTATTCTTTCCAGATGTTGGTGTGCATATTTGGTCTGATAGTTTGGCTCACATCTGAGTGAAATCATCTAGAGTATTGTTTCAGAATTCCACTACACAGTAAATACAAGCTGTAGCCACATGCAAAAATTGATAATTTATTTGAGAGCATAGTAGTAAAAATACCCGCCAGTCATCACAGAAAAATATGCCCACAGAAAATTAAATACTATATGCTATGACATGCATGGCATGCAAGCACAGTTTACCAGAATTTATGACCCACATCCTTTCAAAGAGCTTGAAGCAAATAACATGAGACATTTAACAGCAGCAGAATGTGACTTGAATAACAGGCAATGAAGTTACATATGATGTGGCATCCCAAAAATAAAAAAAAAAAAAAAATACACAGCTTCAAAGGACTAAAAATATCTGCAAAATTAACAAACTGCTATTTATTTTACAATTGTTCACCAACTTCCTAAAATTAACTTCTGCAGTTTGGCAAATCCTTGGAGGAAGATTGGCTGTGAACACTCAATTTGTCATTGCATAATGATAGGTGATAACATGGACTTAACTTTCTTTTAAAATGTATGAGGTATATATAATCTACTTTATGTATTATTTATTTTTGTAGTTATCTCTGGTCTTGGCTAAGAATCAATAAATAAATTGAAAATGTGAAATATTTTTATATTATCTTGTAAAAAAATCAATATAGAACTATATATTTTATTCTTGTCTTGTGTTATTGGCCTGGAATGGATGAGCTAACATTTTAAGAGTACTCCAAAATGAATGATTTTTTTTTAAAGCCTCAGCTGATCAGTGTGACAGATAACAATGATATTGCTGGTCATAACGCTTTTAATCACAAAGGACCTTAAGGTATCTCAGACACCACATGCATATATCAAACTCTAAAATGCAGCCATCTCTGGATCCAGAGGAAGCCAGTAGCTAGTAATCACTACCCTGAACAACAGCGGAGACTCAGAAACCATCCCAGCTGCACATGTAGGAAGACAAAATAAAAAAAAAAAAAACCACCAACAAAAAAAATCCTGATTAAGTTGCAACTTTAGTAAGAGCAGGGTGATATGAAGATTTGATGTAAATTGCTAACAACACAGTCCTTCAGGCACAAGTTGCCACATGGCATAAGAACACACACCACACTGCTCAGCAGTGAAAAGGCAGCTGAAGCCCACTTTGCCCCTTGATAAAACCAAGCCTGGTTGCTAGCCCATTCAGTAACATGGCCTGGCAATAACTTTATGAAAACCATTGTTCATGAGAACCATTGTTCTTTGCTTGTCTGCTCCCACTTGTTTGGGAAAGCTTTCATCAGACCCTCTTAATCTGATTCCAGGCAACCCTTGGGTACCATTTTTGTTTACAAAATTCACAGAGCACTGATGAAAGGACATAATTCTCAAATGACCAGGCACTGAAAGCATTACTCTTCTGCCCTCTTTCTCCTCTGAAACCTTCTCCTGAACCAATTCTCAGGGTTGATTTCTGCAGGAACACATTTTGGATGTCTGTCATCCGGCTTATTACTATTTGAGCCTGGCCTTCATATTCACCCAATAGGCCCTGATTGTCCATGGGGAGAGTAAAAAATCAACAAAGCAACAAAGAGCCTGAAAGAAAGCGACTAATACAGCATTCTCAGCAGATCATAAATTTAACAGCAGTTAAATGGGAGTCTGGCTGGAAATGCAGAGACAGGTCATAAGGAAATGGAATACGGCAAAACTCACCAAAGATGAGCTGCTCTATCATGAGGTCATGACTCTTACAGTAGGTTAAAAAATCCATCTTCCTCCTATGGAAGTCTCAAAGCATACCTCCAAACAGGACTATTACACCTTCCCAAATTAAGTCCTTACTACTGCACAAAAGAGGGAAGATTTCTTTCTTAAATTTGTAACCAAAATGCCTTAATCGCAGATTCAGGTAAACAGTTCTTTTCAAGAAGAGCATTAAAGCATGCATTAACTTAAACTTGTGTTTAACAGCCACTGAAATTCACATGTCTTCATTGAGGAAAAAAAAAAAAAAAACACAAAACAAAACACTTCCACTGTGCTTTTCTACAATGTGACCCAGCTTGCACACTTTACCTCCTTGTAAGCGGTATCTGAGAACATACTATTGGACAACTCAAAGTTCAGACATTTACTCATCAAAAAATCTTTCACATGGATATCCTAGCTTCACTTTGATGCCAGTCTCACACGGTTAAACTAATTCCTCGTGGTGCCTAAATTATTTGTCATATACTTACTCTCTTTCCGGACATCAGCGAGTGCTGCATGAAGTTCCTCTTTAAAGACAATTGCTTCCTTGGCAATTTTTTCTCCCTTATCCAACAGATTCCAAGTGGCTTCTTCCACAGAAGCTATCAAGACACGAGCTCTTTTGGAACGGCCCTTTTTCTTACTAGAAGGATTCTGTGGACAGTTCACTAGTGTTGTAACCTACATTTAAAAGGAACAAAAAAGACAATAGCAGTTTAAGTTCTATAAGTTAATTTATATTGTTCTCAATTTTTTTAAAAAAAATCAAATTAATATAGTTGAGAAAAAGCAATGCGATTCCCCTGGCTTTAGAGAGAGACAGGCAACCTAAGCATACATACTGAGAATGGGCAAAACTATTGTAGCAAGTTTGACAGATAATTTTACTTAATATGCCTCATCTTTGTATTCTTCCTTCTGCATGATCAAAGCAAAGTCAATAGAAATCTCACTGTCATGTTAATCCCGATGCAAACTCCTGATGCTGTGTATTTTAAAATTTCCTCATGATAAAAAAAAAAAAACTACTCAGGCTACCTAGGGAGGCTTCAGCCAAGGCAGGAATTATAATCAGTGCTGAATCTTCCCATACTTCCAGCTTAAATCTTCCAAGTTATCTGGTAGGTTTACTATAGCTTTGTCCAAATTACATTTTTTAACAATGCACTTAAACATTCATAAAGAACTTATTTTTAAATAGCATCCCACTCCACATTCCTCATCATCTGAGCACAGCCTCCACACTCCAACAGAACGTTTCTAACAGACTAATCTCTAAGGCATTGCTTGAGCTGTCACGCTAAGGAAAGACTCCTAGAAGATTTTAAAAGGAAAGTGTTATATAGATATTTTAAAACATACTTTATTTTCATTAAGTAAGTTCACTGATGTTTTTTAATCCTCCTTCTATTCTGTTCTCTGCGCCAGAACATGGACAATATAATATTAAGTACAGATCTAGTCTTGGAGCTCACCAAACACATTTTGTATGTATATAAATCACCTCGTTTTATTAAATGGCATTCCAATCGTTGACAATATTGTCTAAGCAAAGCAAAAGCTATGTATGAATTTCTCAGTCCAGCAGGCAAACTTAGCTAATGGCTGCAGTATAGTTTGTGGTTTGAGCTGGTCTATGGAAGAGGGATCCATTCACAGGTACGTAATGGGAAGAGTGCTAGCTGAGCCCTAGCTCACCTTTAGATCTCGTTCATGAATTCAAGCAGTTTTGTGCTTTTCATGAATCAGTACTTCTAAAAGTAGCTGACAAACATCCTCTGGGAAGCATTTCTATAAACACATCTTTGAAAGACAAAAGTCCTGACCCCAACATCATTCATGTGGAATTTGGGGGGGAAAAGGAAGACCAGCCACTTGACATTGACTGCTTTGGCATGTCATGAGAGAGACAGCAACATAAATAACTCTGGCTCAGACTGTTAAAGAGGGCTTGTGTATTTTTCTGACTGTGGCTCAAAGAAAGTAAATGAAATTATTCATTGCACATAAATCAGCCAGCTGGTAGAGAATGCACTGGGAATAGAATCTTAGTATCTTTTATTTTTACAAACACTATAACATTATTTCTAGAGCATTTAATGCAGTTTTAATGATCATATTTTTAAAAGTGAGTTAAAGAGATTATAGGCCGGTACTTCCAAAAAGAAAAGCATAAAACATTGAAAAAAATTAGAAGCTGCCCCAAAAACCTATCAAGTAAAAGACATTTTTTAAATATCTTAACTATTTAGTCACATTTCCCAGAAAATAGTATATTCTATTTCTCAGATTTTTACTGTAGTCTCCTCTTTATGTGAAATACTATTCTATGTACTGTTCATTCATGTGTTTTGGAGGAGGAGGAAAGGAAACAAAACAAATGGAAAAATATGAAAAAATAATCATTCCTGCAAGTAAAAACTCCTGACTGTAAGACCCTTCATCTTCAGCACCACTGTCAGGAAATATCAGAGGCAGCTTCTGATCTCAAATACAAGTTAAAATTTGATAGGTAGTTCTTGCCTCATGGAGATCAAGGAATACAGAAAAAGTACTCTGAATTCCCAAACACAGAATCCCAATGTTGAATGCAAAAGTTTTATGCAGATCCTACAAAGAAATAATTGAACTACACAGTAGCTAATATAGCGTGCCCTCTTGATCCACTGTCAGCACAGATTGTACTGTAGTGCCAGAATACACAGTCAAAATGATATTATGAGAAAAAACAAAAACATATTCCCATTAATCCTGCTCATCCCTGGCTGCCTTTCCAGTTATTAACACCTTCTTATTGCCGTACAGCATGTCTCCCAGCATTCAACAGCAATCCTTGTCAAGAGGTTATTCTGTATCTCTAGGAGCAGCAACAGCATTGTACTAGAGGCACAAGGGTTTTTTAAGCGACATTTTCAACCCATATGCCATCACAGCTGCAAAGCTGAATCATGCTGCTGTTGCCCGTTATTGGCATTATTTATTAGGCTGAAGGGGTGGGATGTTTTTGTCATGGTTGTCCCAAACACTGAATTCCAAAGGAACTGCGCAGCAGTTCTTCCAATGCTATATTCAGTTCCTGCCAGCCTTTACAGACAATCCTTTAATATTGCAGGACTTAAGGAAACAGTCTTGATACCTTAAGTATCAAAAGATTTGGTTCACCTTTGATATTAATACAGAAGTATTTTAGAGCATCAAACATTCTTTTTTGTTTAAAATTTAATTCAGTGTAACTGCAATCCCTAGACATTTGAAAAAACAAAACATGAAATCAGTGATCTAATGACAACAGCAGAACGCCCTGCTCACTGATTCAAATCAGTCAGATGTTTGAGGACAACAAAGTATTGCCCATACAAAAGCATACTGGTTAATCCCTTTCAGTGTGCATAAAAGTGAACTCACCATACATAGACCTAAACCCAGCAGTGTATGTTTTCTGTGTGAACAAACTTTTGTCAGTGTGGATGACAGGTGAGAATAAACGCCTTTCAATCTGCCTATTTTTCATCAGTGATGTGAGAGACTCTAAAATACATGGATGTCTCTACATATTCTGTAAAACTTACCTATCTCTTGCAGCCTTAAGCTTTCCTTAGCTCACATGTATATTTAAAATATAAAGAGATGGAAGACAAGAGGTTTGGCAAGGAAAAGCTCTTACAAATATTTGCTTATATATACATGCACACACAACACATACATATTAAAGTGTGTGTATATATACAAAGATATAGAGAGAGCTTTAGATGCAATATCCAAATAAGTAGCAAGTTTACAGCTTATAAGACTTGCAATGACTGCAGAGCAAAGGCAGTTAGGAAGTATTGCTGGCATGAAGTAATGAAGCTATATCAATCTCATCAGGTCATATCTCTCAAAACTTTTACTTGTATGTAAATTCAAAAGGAAAAAAATTCTTAGACTAGTTTGCTACAGAAGCAAATTTGTACCTAGCCGTAACTGAATTCATTACATAGTATAGCAAAGAGATTAAACAGACTTCAGTCTCTGAGGATGAGACAAAACAAGAGGATATTTTCCATTACATTAATTATTACATTTTGTGAGTAAATCTAGCACAAGCATGACAAATATTAGACACCACTATGTGAATGAAAATGCTTTATGATCTACTGATTGCTTCACGCTAATTGGTCCATGACAGAGTTCATATCTTATTAGATATCCCAGATTTAAGGAAAGACTGTTTATCTGAGCATGTACCCAATTTACATCAAGGCAGCTGTCAGCTGAATGATGTCAATTTTGACAACTATAATTTTTAATATGCCAGATGCGTTGATAGAGAACTTTACTTAAAAGCCTTCCTTTCAAAACTAATGTCCTCAAAGTACCAGGGATAAAATAAAATAAAGGCCACAGCCAGAGAAAGCCCCTTCTGGGGCAACTGAACAGGACTAAAGAAACTTTTTTGCAATACATAGAGAAGAGAGTTCAGCTAGTAGTACATCCCCATGAGAGCACAGTTTATAAGGCTGGACACAGAATTACACTCATGCAGTTATGCCACTTCCAACATACGAGTTTCTATTTCTGCAGAGCACTGCACAGCACTATTTGAACTTACCACCCTGGGTCAGGGCACTGTTTGGGATGAGAAAAGGGAATCGCAGTGAGACTGCTGCCCCTGCAATCCCCCAAACACTGTAATTTAGGGGCATTGTTTTATTCCAAGGACGGAGAAGTTGCCAAGTCACAGAGGGTTTTATACAAAACAATGTATCATACTGTTTTCACAGTTTCAAAGCAATCACCACTGCCGGTTGTAGATTGCAGGGAAGAGAGAATCTAGCAAAGTCATCTGCAAAATTACTTCTACATAGGCTGGTTTTGCCTTCATTTTCTCCCATATTGGTGCTGTTAACCTAATGATTGCTCTAACACTCAGCATAACTGGTTAGGAGAGACCTCAGAGAAGCTCAAACACTTCCACTGCCTCTTTCCTACCAGAGCATTACAAGACTACTAAATAAATAGATTAGAACATAAATCTCAAAATAAAATGAAACTGTCTTCAAAGCAGCAGCTGCTAAGTGAATCAGGCCAGAGCATACTACTATTTCTTTTTATCTGTGACTGGTCTGATTCTTCTTCTAATCATAGATCAGTTTTCATTTATCACCTTTCCAGCATCTCAATCATCCTTCATTGAGTATTAATTTTAACCCCTGCTTTTGCATTTTCAAGATTTTTTCTGTCTCGTTCCCACTTAAAATGCAAGCCTCCCTTCCACAGTTCTGTTACGAAGCAAATAAAGCATTAAGGCAGGGGCGGGGGGGGAAAGAAGACAGAAAAAATCGTATTCTCTTTGAACCAAAACATTTCCATTTTTAACAGACTCAAGCTTTTTAAAGATGCTTGAGAAGAGTTTTAAAAAACCAAAATAATTAGATGGTTCCTTTGTTTTGTTCTGGAACTGTATTTCTTTGTTTTGTCAGGTTTCTTTGATCCTGCAAAACTCAGGCCAAAATTTACATTTCTTCACCTCCTCCAAAAATACCCAGTGTTGCAGCTGCCTGAGCACAGTCTGACCTACTGGTATACAAGAGAAGGTTTTAAAATGCAGTCTATTGAGACATCTATTCCTACTACTCTGAAACTAATTTTATAATCCATCCACATAGGATGCTCCAACTTGATGACTTCCCACAAACCAGTGAACTGTTAACTGAGGTTTTATACACCGTCAATCACACCCAGGAAAACAAATAATTATTCGCAGACAAAATGAGTGAGAGGCAGCTCAGTTAATAACAGCTGGAAATGAAGTAACAATAAAAAGAAAATGTTACTTTCTGAAGAAAAGAGTCTTCCAGAAGGGACAAATGAGGAAGGGAGGAAAAGAAGATCAAGTCAAAAATAAGAGAAGAAATTTCAAAGATTATAATGAAAAATGAATAAAAGAAACTGGCTGAGTTAGGGAAAGGCAAAAGTTTCAAATAGGGAAAAACAATTTTATCTGATAAAGAGAAACTTATTTCAATGAATTAATTGATTCTTAAAAGCAACTTTTCCTAGAACTGTTATAAAACACGATCAGCACCTCTTTGCTCTTCCTAGCTTTTAGGGCACATACAGCACTTCTGGAATAAATAACTTTTCCAACATGAAAGTCCAAATAAACGTAAGAACCATCAGACCAAACACAATCATGATTTTATTGTCCTCATCTTTCATCTCTGTACTCTTTTTCCCTCCAATCATTACGTGCTGCCTCTTTAATTATAATCTGACTGTTCCCCTGTATCTGGTCACCACCCTTTGGCAAGTCCAGGCAAACAGCATGCAAAGGACTGGCTCCCAGGGCAAAGAAGGAAAGATCTCATCAGAGCAGTGTGTGTGAAAAGAAGTGCATTCCTGGAATAACAAAATTTACCATCTACTTAAGCGGCTGAGAGATGTATGAGAAAAAAATATTTTTTCCTTTAATGTCTGCCCAAGTACAATAATAATTGTTTCAGTCTTAATTAAAATGATTTTATTTCTTTGTTAAAAATAGAAAAGTTGCAAATTGAAAAAAAGGAAATAATAGAAAACTTGGTAGCTATGTCCTAACCTTTTTTTAATAAGCTGTACACCCCCAATTCTTACATGTATATAAACAGAATAACAGCCAGAGTACAGTATTCAATCTGGCTTTGCTCTATTTATAAACGGTCATCCTCCCAGTATCAGTTTTGCGTGTTGATTGTTAACATAACCTACTTAACAAAAAGTTATTGTCTTGTAAGACTCATTACTGAAAGAGCTTGGAAAGATCTTAACCAACCACTGAAACTACTTCATAGCCATTATACCTATATACCATCCTCACAACCTGAAAAACAACAAAGTATTCTTTGTACATTAGCAAGTGAAAGAAAATTCTGAATGAAGTCACACCTTTCTGCACCTAGCAAACTGCAGCCAGAGCAGTGACTGACATGTAAACATACCCTCAGGCACCAGGAAAAGAATACTAAATAAGCAGTACACAGCTTCGACAAGCAGTTTGATCTACATCATCTTGGCAAGGCTGAAGGACAGTGGTAAGTTGGCATCCTTGTGCTATGTGTAATTGCCTAATTAAATGCAGGTACCCTAACAGCTTTGTTCTAAGTACAGTAAAGAGAAAATTCAAAATAGATTGAGTTTCAAAACTGAAGATGTCCTTTCTGTTCTTCACCCTGCAACATATTGCTGCAGAGGTCTTTCAACACTTTCTTAGTTATACACATTATTTGCAAAACGAGATCAGGTCTTCAAGTAGGTCCTTTCCATTGTATTAAAAAAGACATTTCTAATCCATGCCAAATATAGAGATAATGAGAGAAACTTTAACACACTAATCACTGCACAGCGATTACTTGTGAATTACTTGTGAAATACTTCAAGTGAATACTTGAAATAGAACTAGAATAGGCAGTAAAATTGCATGTCCTAAAAAGAAAGTTTTATCAACAAACCTGAAAGCATTTTTGTAAATCCCTCAGTCCAAGTTTTCTTTAGTTGGAAGGAAAAGTACTAAAGCAGGTTTATACAATATGCAACAACTGCACTGTTCTTAGGGCATCTCCCCTAAAGTGCAACAGAACGCAATTCTTATCAAAATTCAAATAAAGAAACTCACCTACAGATTTCAAGGCTCTTCTTTTCTGCTCCGTCCACTACTTACAATAGGAAACTTTTCATGTGTTGGAAATCCATTTGCAATGTATTCTACATTCAAACATCCACTAGATAATACTGTACAGGAGACTAGCTAGAACATGCGACATTTGCTATGATACACTGTGTGGCATTTGCAAAAATGGAAGTGACTAAATGAATGACTAAATCTGGAAGAAGACAGATCCCCCTGGACAGTTTCTGAGGCAGACTAAACTGCAAGTACAGAAGAGTCTTTCATAATAGTGTCCTTAGCCAAAGTTCTTCAACCTTATTCCCTCCCTCTATGGTTATCCAATTTATTTTCTGCAGTAGTAAAATACCTGAATTATCAATGGTTCCAATAATTTCTCCACTGTAAACGTCTGGATCTGCAGATCCTGAGGATCAATTTTCAGTTTAATGCTTGGCATTTTTGTTGACATTTCACCTAGGTACAAAACAAAAAAAAAAAATTGCAGTAAGCAATTATTAGCCACGACCACAAGTCTCATTGCTTTCTGTCTGAGCCCAGAGGCTGCCTATGGGAGTATAGATTTGGTTCCATAACAGGCTTAGGATTTCAAGAGATAAAATGATTTTTTCCAATTCCTCATTTCTAAGTTGTCAGGAAAATATGCAAGTATTTGCATAAACCGATAGTTAGATTTAAATAGATTTAAAGTACATATAATTCCTTGTCTTCTCTTCCAGGTTTCTAAATTGACCATATATTAAAAAATACACAAGGATAATTGCATTAGAATTTGAATAGAAGTTCTCTAGTAGTCAATAAAAAGGAGCTTTAAAGCAAAAATAATATATTACATTATTGAATTTATCACAAAACAAAAATATTAATGCTATGTGCACAATACCTGTATCTTACTCCACGTGCCAAATTACAGTGGTCATAATAAATACTTTAAGAACAAAAATATATACAGCCTGGAAATTAATAGCAGGAGAAAGTGAAACATTTAGTTATTTTACACCCTGCAATAACAAATATTTTCTAAGTGCCAAGGCAGATTAAGTCAAGAAAGCCTATTACTGAAGTCAATAAAATGGAAGTAAGGCTAAGTAAGGTCTTTAAAGTGAATAAATCATTCATTAGGAGCTTGATCCAAAGTCCACTGATGTTAATTTAAGGGTTTTCACAGAGTTCACTGGGCCGTGGTTCAGGCCCTTAGCCGCAGTGAAACGTGTGTGTGCCAACAAAGAATTATAACTGTGCTTTAGTAAGAATGCAACTGATTATTGTCCCAAAATAAAAGACATTTTAAATTTTCCACTAACTTAACTTCCCATAAAACATAGCTCAGCAAAGCCTTTCTAGCCAATAAAGGCTTCAAACACACAAGTAATGGGTATCTGTCCTTTTTAAGCAGGACTTATTACAATCATTGCTGCTGTATAATAAGGTAATAAGGTACTGCAATTGTGAAGGCTAAACAGATTTATTGTCACCTTCTGGAGAACCTAACATTGATTTAATACAACACAGTAGGTTTAGGGTTTCTATAGCAAGTTGCGTAGAAATGGATCCAAATTGTTTATCACAGAACAGTTACCCACATTTCACTTGCAAGCAAAGATAATATGAATGATAATTAAAGAATTCAGGTTAAAGGTAATTTAACATAAGTCAACATAATAAATGCCCCACTAAATCAGATCAACAACTAGCCCAGTATGTTTGTTATGGTCAGCCTATCAATTCTTGATAATATACTGTATATTCAACAAAGCAAGAAATAAGGCAGGCTCTTTCCAACTGCTGTTTAGTGGAGGAATCGCCAAGAGACAAATTCACAATCACCCAGAGGGCTTCATACAACTACAACTTAAGTCATCATGAAAGTGCAACACCTCCTGGTTTCTTTACATTGTGCACATAACATCCTTGGTGAGCTGAGCTCTGCAACAAAAGCTTATTCTTACAGCTCAGGCCAAAGACATGCCCACTCTGTAGGCACACAAGCAGGTTTTTTCTTTACTTTTTATTTTATCCATAGTGATTCTTACTGTTAATACCCATTGGTTCTTCATGTATGGAAATTAAACACAAAAGTGAAACCAATTTCTCAACCACATAATTCTTTGGAAATACACTAAATATATAATGATGTAAGTAAAATCTAAACCTCAAGAATGAGAGATCTAGTGCAAAATGCGATCTCAAAAGGCCAACACCTATTAACTGCATCATTTTATTGAACAATGAATATTCAGAATGGTTCTGCGTCTGCAAAGTAGATTAAAACTCAAGCTTTCTTACAGCTACCGCTCTATAGTTCTTTCCAGCAACATTTGCTATACGAGCAAGGGAACTCTCAGTAACCTGGAAGCCAGGTTCCCACTGACATTCAGATCTTCACATGATGTCTTCAATTAAAGATAGTAAATATTAATGGGAGATCCTTTTTAACCCATTAAAGTAAGCTTTCCTACAGTACTAATAACTTGCTCTGAAAGCCACAAATGTCCGTCAGTCACATCCCTGCTCTTCTCAGCTTCAATTCCAAACTGCATCGCAATTTAATGGCTGCTTGAACTGCCTCTCCCATAATAAAACAGTAGTGCATGCACCTTTGGTTGACTCTGCAGTGCTGGCAAATGCTGGGTCCTGTCTGTGTCTACCTGTTGGCACGTTGGTGCAGCCTACGAACATACAGCAGAGAAGCACCCACGCTGCTGAAAAGCTGTTTCTGCTGTGTCCACCTCTGAACCAAAAAGCCTTTTAATTCAAATGCCGTCCTCCAGTTTCACAGGGATTGCATCGAACCACATCATTTCACACTCTCAAAAAGACAGACTTGTTTTTTTACCATCTGCAATTCACTGGTTCTCTAAATCTTGGGAAGACACTTCAATGAATCTGCTTTTTACTCACATTAAAGAAAAAAAATCTTTATGATATTGCTGGTTCACAACCCTTATCTTTGACATTTTCACAAGCCTCCCAGCACATGGGTACTTCTTGAAATCCATCACAACAGTTGCAAATAGATGGTAATGATCGTGCTGTGAATTTTTTTTCTGGCTAAGGCATACATCAGTTGCAAGGGGACAGGTAAGAACTGGATGGAGATAGCACTTCATGCTTCTACTGAGATTTGAAAAAATCACTAAGTGATTTTCAGGTTATTTTTTCTGCAGATACATTCATACAACTTCACAGTGGCCTCCCCTCAATTCCTTGACAGAAGGGTGTTAGCAACTGCTTTAATCAAAATTCAGCAACAAACCCTTTGCTGCTTGCAGCAAGAGCTGCTCTCCATTCTCACAGCACAACTTCCTATACTACAGGTCATCTACATTGATCAGACCTTTTCTAAAATTTGGCAGATAAATATGTAATTATAGTCACTTCCTTTTACTAGAGATCATTGCGCTCCAGAATCCTACCACTGAGCAGTCTCAAACTTGGAAAGTCTTACAAATCCAATCCCATTTTTGCAGATCAGAAAAATGTGAATCCATGTGCTGTGACTTTCCCTTTTTGGGGTTTTGGGGTTGTTTGGATGGGTTTTTTGGTTTTTGTTTTTTTAACATATTGTCTAACGTAAGCATTTTTATTCTTTGCTTGAGCCCTGGCTCAACTAGCTTTCAAACTCAACAACAGCTTTTTAGCCTTCAGTCAGGCCCATAACTTATCATTAACTGAAAGTCAATCACAAAAATTATTGTTTCTGAACATACTGATTACATTCTAGGGTATAAATAATCTACTTGCTGGTTCTCGTCATTCTAATGCTTCCTGGAACTTCCTTAAAGCAGCCAAAATATGAAAACAAGCTTGCAGCCAATGCAGTGAAAACTACAAAATATTAAATTATTTTGATACCCTGACTACATATTTTTAACTTACCAGGCTCTCTTTACTGTTATTTACCATATTAGCTAATCAGTACTTAAATAGAATTTTATTTTTTTAATCAAGGCAAGGGTAACAGGTGATAGAAATAAAAATATGCAGCCAGTAAAGATCATTCTGGGGGTTTCGCTGATACTTCCACATGGAAAGTGAAATTCTGTCCTTCCAGATCATCTTCATTAAGATGACAAATTTTAGTGCTTGCCTCAGGAAAAAATGACAATCACAGTCCAACCTCTATTTTTTTAAAATGCATATGTCTATTCCAGTATAATATGCCCTCTAAATACAGTAGGGATGTGGACTGCGAGGTATTTTGGTAAAAGGCTGCTATAACCTCACACTTGGTTACATTAACCTTTACAGTAGGCAATTTCAGCACTGTAGACCAGCAGCTCTTACAACACTTAGGATGTTAAGCATGTGTCACAAGATGCAGCTGTGTCTCCGAACAGCCAGAAAAGCAACCACCTGCACACTCCTACCAAGTGCTACAAACTTTAAGATAATGAGAATTTTCTCTTTTCAGCAGACATGTCCAAACTGAAACCGCTGAGTCTTTTGGTGTAAGACAAAGAGACCCAGGAAAAACACTCAAAGTTTGTATCCACCTGCAATACAATGTGAACATAGTACCTGCAGCTTTTAAACAATCTATAAGTACTGTATACAGACATAGATAAACTAATTAGTGTCAGAAAGCAGAGCCAAAGACATTCTGCATAAATTAGAAAACGTTAACTTTAGAATCCATTTCCTGCTAGATCATTAGAAAGCCAATAGCACATCACTCACCTATCCTAGAATATAAATGGTCCATATTCAGCACTAAAACAACTGTCTATGTAATTTCCTTGTGTTAGGAACTTCAGTGCAACTGCTATGGCTCACTATTTGGCTTCTGAGGCATCTGCAAGGGACTGCCTGACAAGCTCGCCAGTGTATTTCAGGATGACTGACAAGGCACAGTGGCTGCTGGAGGGGTGGCAGGGGGATGGGCATCCTTAAAGCTATATACAAGAGCACAAATATGTCCAAAAAAATTTAAAACTAAAAAGCTTTTGTACAATTAGATTACATGAAACTTGTCATTACTGATACTTGTGTTTATTCTTGTAATTTTCAGCACAGCTATTGTTTTCCCATACATTCTGATTGTATGCCAACTTCTGTCTCCAGGCAGTGACTCAGTCTCAGACTTCTGAGCTGGACAGCAAAGGGATTCATAAGGCTCTCACCCAGTAACTTGGCACCAAATTTGTTTTCTTGGGTTTGTTTGGGTTTTTTTTCTGTATGTTACTCTATGCTGACATACAATATATTATCCTATCAGTTTCATAAAATGCACAGGCCTATTGCCTTCTAAAAAACAGGGAAGACAATAAAAAAAATATTAAAATGAAGTAGTCTGGATTAGTATTTTTAAACAAGATACACACGGACAGGACACGTGAGGACTTCCAAGACATGAAACATTGCTCAGACTATGTAACAGAGTATGTTTTATTATTTTTTCTTAATTTCAGTATTTATTATACAGCTTCATCAATCGGTGCCAACACCACTCTGGGAATAAAATTTGTTAGCCCTTTTGCTACAGAGTCAGTACAGCAAGTACAAATCAGATTTTACGGAAGCCACAAAAACAGTCACTGCATTTTTCTTTAATCCTCTAGCTGATATATGAAGTAAGATACTCAGAATGCTAAAAGGTACTAGTTCTGTTTGCAAAACAACAGCATGGACTTTTTTTGCTTGAAGACCTGCTGTATTTTGAGGGCCAGACCATGCCCTGGAATGATCCTGACACCTGGGAAGGATCCAGCCCATTTAACATCAGGGAAAACTTACAATGCACTTGCCAAATTATTTAAATTTCCATACTCTAACCATCTCAGGTTTTATCACTTCTTATCCCTAGTAAAAGGAAACACATCTGTTAAAGCAAAGACACCACAAAGGACAGAAGAGCTGGAGAACTGGAGAAGTTGGCAATATTCTGATCCGTTAATAACATTTATTCACTGAAGGCTATTTTATGTAAAGATAAAATAAAGATAAAAGATAATTTTTAATGCTGAGAGCAAAAAAAGAAAACAACCTTTTTCTTTTACATCCCCTTTCACTTCCCTCTGTGTCTGCTTCCTACATAGAGTGATTTTTTAATCCATTGGCCAACATCAACCACATCGAAAAAGCAGCTGAAATTCCCAGGGACGCAAGTTTTCTACCAAGTTCTTCAACATAGTTCTCAGCATAAATAGTCACACATCATCCCTTATAATGAATCTATCAAGGAAAAGAACACAACGTAAGCCCAGTTCTTACTGGATACCAGAGAATCCGCATGGGAAGGAACAGGCTATGACTGACCTAACAGCATGAAAAGCTTTAATTAAGATTTATGGAAAAAAAATGTTTGAGATGGGAAGAGCATTACACCTCAATGAACTTGTCTCATGCAGACTTTCTGATGCCTAGTGAGACAGCAAATGAAGATTTTTTTTCCCCCAGGATTACAACAGTCAGAACATGCTTTTTTCCTTGTTTAATAGCCATGCCTACTTTTTCTACAGTGCATTCTGTCAAAGCACTTTTTCAAGCACAGGTCATCTTCCAATAACATATAAGGAAATAGAATCACAGAGGAAAAATTTACACCAGATCACACAGAATGCCAGGGGCAGAATCAGGAATGGAATGCTGGGATACAACCATCCAGCCAGTACAGCACCTTACTTACGCTTTCTTTAACTGGGGCCAATAAACAGGCTAAGAAAAGTAAAACGTCTCCAAGTACAGTTTACACTATAAATCTAAAGAATATAATCTCATTTTCCATACTCATGTCAAAGTTACCTAGATACTAATATTTCTTATTCTTAGGGTCAGCTAATACATTCTTCTCCCTTAAACACACTATCAAAATTACTGCCTTAGTTGAATGCACGCACTTCCAGCCAGTTGCAACACACTGACAAATTCTAGGAGATATTCCAGCAGAGGTGTGAAACCCACAGCCTGACCAGCTACAGAACTTTCGGCTTTGCACTAGCATACCACTCTGCTTTTCAACCAGCAGCTATACAAAAATGTGTGTTACAGTCCTGAGCCTATAGCCACAGCAAAGAAAATACTCTCCAATGAAGTGTAACCATGGAAACTTGCAAACCTGACAATATTAGCAGTAAATGAAATAATTCCACTAACATAAATTAATTTCTAGTGGATATACACCATTATGGGTGAAAGCAGAATCAAAACAATCCTGCTAGGTTTAGAAATGCTTTACCAATCTTATCTTCATAACATTTCTCCCAGGTACATTTTTGCAGGTACTGGAGTTTTTGGTCTTGGAAATGCAGCTGTAATATTTAAGATATTGAAAAAGCATTTACTTCAAAAAAGACAAAAAAAAAAAAAAGAAGGTGGTGTGACATCAGATGGCAGCATTTCATTCAAAAATAAAAGGTTTTCATTAATTCTCTTTGGACCCATTTCAAATTCCTAAAGAAGAAAAAAAATCCTTTCACATGAGCCTCTGTGCTATTTTCACTGCATGCACTTTGAGCGAGGAATGAGGACCCCTCTCTATTCAAGTGGCAAACGGTTCCTACGTGGATGGCTATCCTGTGCTGGTAATGATAGGTTAAGAAGGGTCTGGCTCCAAGCCCTCCCTTTTGTTATCACTTTTAAAGTGTTCCTATCTCTATTCAAAACCAGAGACTCTGTTTAAATAAAGTTCAAGTTGACCTTCCACTAAAAATAGGATATTGTTCAACTCATTTAAAAAAAAAAAAAATCCATTACATGCTACTAAAAGTGTTTTTAATTTTATTTTTATTAAATGCAATCCCCTCATTTCACCTTTTTGTTATTTTTTTCCCCTTTTTGTTATTTGCTGAGGGTTTGCAACATTATACTATACTGTTTTGCTTAACAAATGTCCACCTCCTACTCAGTTGCAATGAAGTAAAAACCCCATGTTTTCCCCTTCTCTTTGTAGAGCTGCTACTCTTGCCAACTGATTTTGTTGTTTCAGAGCCATGCATTATCCCAGGATGCTTCATCATCACGTACCATTTTATGTACCTATTTTCAAATTGTCCAGTGACCTCTGACATGCAGATTAATTCTTCCAATGGGGCTCCTGGTGCTGCATGGCATCCTATTTCCTTTATCAACTTAGACAAACAGTTTCAAATCAAAACATGGCTCAGAAGAAAAACCCTACTTAGTTGATACATCATTTCTGGTGAAACAGCTTCAGAAATAAAGACTAAAGATATTCCTGCCCATTTTGACCTGCACTCTCGTTCCAGCTCAAAAGGATTTGGCTACAGAGCATATTCCAAGGTGGAATAGTTTTCTAACATCAACCAACAGATTAGGAATAGGAGAGAAGGGCAACAATTCATTATGTGTTTTCTAAATGCCTGTCACCAGGCCTAATTCTTTGCTGTTGCATGTCTTTGGGGCTTCACTAGCTCTGAACATAGCTCATCTTTAATAAGGAATCCAAATGGATTTTACGTTAATGGAAAATTGTCTTAGTGTACATAAAGTTTTCAAAATATGCCAAGTGTTACATTGAATGTAACAGCCCTCCATTACCCCCACTTATAAACAGATGTCTTTTATATTTTAAAAATCAAAAATAACTGTATAAAATTGCCTTGTACAGTAATTCAGTATTTCCAGCACAGAGGTGATAAACGTACCTTTACATAAACCTTCCTTGCATTAGATGCAAAATCCAGCAAAGTACCAGGAAGTAAGTTAAACTTTTTAAAATAACAGTATCCACGCAACATTTTATCCTTCCTTTTCCAATATTCCAATATGTTTTTTCATATTTGGAAAATACACAAACATTGCACAAATTTGGCTACTGGCTTGAAGATCATTCAGAACATTTTAAAAATCATGGTTAAAAGTTCTCTTTCTAGAAAGTTGGTTAAGAAAATCAGCTTTTTAACTCAAACTTTTGAGCCAATTGTTTGATTAAGCAACTATAGTTCCATTCACAGCTTCATATTCTTTCACCAACTGGAAAATTCCCTTCATTCCTCTTCAATCTTACCTATTGTATCAAGAATCTAACAAGAGATCCTAGAAACAGCTCTGTGAAGAACTCCTCTTGGTGCAGCTTGACTCCAGAAACACTGACAGCAAGACAGCAAATGGTTGCCTATCATTCCTAGTCTATGAGAAACAAAATAGGAGGGGAAGAGAGTCAAAATGGGGAGGGCAGTATCCACTTGGGACCTCCCCCTAAACTACTAGTTCCTGACTTCACTGACAACTTGCTACTGAAAATACCACTTAAAGAAACCCCAAGCTCATTCTTAGTCTTGCAAACATATTTTGGCACTGAGCTTTTAGACCCTAAATCAGACACCATCAAAGTCAATGGCAAAGCCCTCTCAGAAAGCAATGAGGTTTAAGTTGAACATGACAGGGGAAAGGGGAAGAAGGAAAGCAAAGGCCATTTTATTGTAAAACCCAAGTCAAATATAGTTGCAATGTACATATCAAAAAAAGTACAAAACATTCTGCACATCACAGTCTTCTTCATTTACCTTCATAAAATACTCAAAACATAATCCTACATGTAAGATTTTCCACCAAGGCAGCCATTTAAGAAACAGACATGAGCGAAGTTTTGCTAATTTGCTATTATAGTGTAGTATGCAATAGCACCCATGTAAAAAAAAAACTCTGGAAAATCCAAAAAGGCAGAAATCGCTCAATACTTACATCTATTCTGCTAGAGATTCTCTATTCTGCTGCTTAAGATCTTAACGGTCTTAAATCATT